CCTTTAGGAATGTTTTTAATTTTTTTTTTATCCAACTTTGCTGGAAAAAAAAAATGTCTAGAGATGGTATCCTTACTGCTAGAATGACTTTATTTATTCATGCATTTTTAGCTAACAACATGCAAATGACATACTTTAGACTCTACCCACTCTTGGCAGTGATGATTGCTGTCATTGAAACTGGTTGATATTTTTATACCTAGTCTTAAAAGTAAACAAAGTGACTGCCTTATGGACATATACTAGGCACTTCTTCATTAGAGGAGCTTTATTGCTAACCTCACAAATTCTTTTAGAAACTAGACCACCAACAAACTTGTCGTCTAACAGCAAAATGCTCTGTTAGGTTACATATGGAACAATCAGATTTCTGATATGAGCTGGAACTTAATGATTTTTAAGGTCTAAGTAGTGTATGGCATGATAGCTCCAATGAAGTGAGTTACATGGAAGTAACAACACAATTCTAAGTGCAGATTTTCTCACTTCCTGTAGTTTTTTTGATGGGGGAGCAACTAAGGAATCAAGCACAGTACAAGTGAGCATAACAATCTCTGCCCAGGTTTCAAAGTTGCCACAAAAGTTTCTGTTTTGTGGAGAATTTATTACTCAGCCAGAACTTCCTGGCAGAGCACAGTGGAGTGTTTTGGGTGAGAGGGCTGAGCCTAGTGCAGAGAGCTCAAGGACAGGAGAGCATAACTCTTTTACAAGTTTGATTTATAATTGCGATTGAAAGCTGTGTTTACATCCGTTCTGCAGTCTCTACAGCAAACACTGCAGTTCACAGTCTGGTAAAAGAGAAGCCAGAAAATTGAAACCATTAAAAATTTATCTTTTTATGCTGAGTGAAGGTGGAGGAAGGGCCGAAGGTTGGCATGGTCACAGAGCATGGTGTTTACATCTGGCTGTAGTGTGTACATTAATACTCTCACAGAAAGGTAAGGAAATGTTAAATCACTTCTGACAGCTGAGAAATTCCTCCCGACTGCTCTGAGACTGCTGTAAGAAGTTCAGAGACTCTCTTTGCTGAGAGGCTGCAGGCTAATGAGTAATCACTTGGTGCAGACATGATTATTGTGCTGTGAGTGTTTTTAAATGCCTGCTTGTAAAAACAAACCATTACGTATTTGTTTAGCAATTTGTCACCGCTAAATAGAATAAACAAGCACACAGTCATATAAATGAAAGTCAATGCACCTTTTCTGTTAGTATATAAATGCAAGCAAAAATTTGCTATTTCATTACTAATATGCATTTTGCAAAGTCAAATACAGCTTAAATGCATCATAAACTGGTACTAACACCACATCTTGTGATTGCATCAAAAGCATAACATTCATAAACAGGCAACTTCTTAATGTGAACATCTCCAAATGGAAAGTATAGCTAAAATTAGGGGCTGTATGTTGGAGAGAGTATGGCATAACATGGAGTTAGCATGTTCTCCCTGCACACGCGTGGGTTATCTCTGGGTACTCTGGCTTCCTCCCACAGTCCAAAAACTTGACTGTTAGATACTTTGCCTTTCACCCAATTACCATTGCAGTGTTGCACACAATCAATCCTACAAGGAGAGTTTCAGGCTTGGGATCAAGACAGATGGATGGATGTATTATCACATAAATGCAAATAATCATTTGCTCTATGGAGGTTTACCTTTTTTTTCTTAATTGTCTTTAATTTGAATAAGACATGTCCGAACATGCATAACTGCAGCTTTAGCACAAACCATACCAGAAGTCAGAAATATCCTAAATTTGATATGTTTTAACTTAGTAAGTTTAAATAAGCATCTAGTGGTTCATGAAGAGACTGCTAGTAATGATGCATCAAAGACTTGTTTTACTGAGGCTTCCACAGAAACTGGATTTTATGAGATTTTCCGGTTTTCTGTGCATAGAAATGTTTGCATTTCTTCTGATATTTCTATCAGATCTTTGACATTAAGTGGAATAAACAGGGTAAATTTGTACAATTTCTACATTTTATTTGGAACAAACCCTGCAGTGTTTGAGCATATCATCTACAAAGTTGTTTTTGTATTTTTTTTTTTTTTTAACCAGAAGGGTTCTTTCCAGTCTTAATTGGAAACCTCTGAAAGACCATTACAATGTGGTTCTCTCTAGTTGTGTGCTTTTATTTAAAACATCCTAACTGTAAACACCATCATAAGCCTAATTTAGAATCTCCTCTGTGGGAAAACAACATGGATGTGTTTTAAATATCTAAAAGGGGATAAAAATAATGAATGCAAAGAGTGCCATCTAGTGTACCATGATATATCAGTATTATTTTTCATTCATATGAGTAGCAATATCTTGGATCTATCTAATCATCACTATTTATTTCAGAATTGTTCCACTCATTATAATCATACAGTAGATTGAAAAAGTAACATCACATCCACATTCTAATATTAGAACATATTTTCCTACAGTTTTCTCCAGAAGAGTTATTGACTGAACATGAAACATTTTATTGGGAATAAAAAAGTATTTTGTAGCCAGATGCAGAACTTTTGAATACAAGTGGGTGAACCATTCTTTGGGGTAAATGACTATTGATTTTAAATATTGACACAATTAACATCAAAAAAATTATCGCCTGGTTTACCACTATGTTAGAATAAAACAAATGTGCTTCAGATTTGTCAATATGTAGTTTATGTATGTCATAAAACAAATTTTCCTTTTGAATATTTTTTTTCTTTTTGCATTTAAATTTAAAATTAATTTATTTCCATTTTTGCTTCTTTTAAAAATAATTCTAAGAAGATCATTCAGATCGTTTTCTTCTTCTATCGTATTTATGGAAAAACAGTTTGCAGAAATTAAGCTAAATGACTAAATATGCCGCATTCTGCTGGTCAAACTGCAGTTTTTCTCCACATTTACATAAGAGAGGACGAGAAACCGTCATTGTTTATGAGATCCAGGATGCAGAATTCATGGAAACGCAAGAGAAGGAGGAAGACGTCCTGCTGCTCTTTTTCTGTACTGCTGCATATTTCCACAAGATGTCAGCAGAGATCCGCAGTAGCTTACTAACTAAAACCGGATTACTTTCTGTAGAGTTATGTCGTTCCATGTACGCTTTCCCTGCCAATATCTTGCACCCTGCTGTGATGTGCTGGACTGTCTCAGGCGCCTCCTTGCACAACCTACACCTTGGGTCTTGTCTGGTGTGGTAGATCTGGGCCTCTATTGCTCTGGTGTTTAGGGCCTGTTCCTGGGCGGCCAGGATGAGGGCCTCTGTGCTGTCCTTGAGTCCAGCTTTTTCCAGCCATTGGTAGGATTCACTGATATCAGCCACTTGGGTTATTTGCTGGTGTACATCCCATGTAGGGGCTTGTCCTCCCATGTTGGTATCTCTGGCACCTCAACCTCCGTTTCCTGTTGTCTGAGACATTCACTGAGCACATTGTCTGTTGAGGCTTTGTCCCTGATGTATCTATGGATCTTAGTTGTTTCGTCCTGGACAGTGGTTCTCACACTCACTAGTCCTCTGCCTCCGTCCTTGCGGCTCGTGTACAGTCTCAGGGTGCTGGATTTGGGGTGGTCATCGGGGCCCTCGGGGCAGTAACCCCCAAACTGGAGCAATGGCTACAACAGATCCCAGGAACAACATCAGACATCTCAGTCCAGAAATGTGCAGTCCTTGGCACAGCCAAGATACTGCGCAGGACCTTCAAGCTCCTAGGCCTCTGGTAGAGGACCCGAGCTCAGAGGATAAGAACCACCCGCGGTGGGTGAGAAGGGAATTAATATATATATATATATATATATATATATATATATATATATATATATATATATATATATATATATATATATATATATATATATTATTATATATATATATATATATTAGGAAGAGTTGCGGGCTTAATATTCAGCATTTACAGCTTTAAAATATGGCACTATGGTAATTGAAACGCCCTGAAACATGAAGTATTAAAGATTCCTTATGTACTGGGTAACTGATTATTCATCTTTGCAGGGTCAAAGGTGTCAGTGGGGGAGATTTATGGTTCTCCCAGGTCAGATCAACAGTCCATCACAGGGCAGCAAGAATGCACAGGAAAAAAAACAACCACTCACACACACCTGAGGACCAAACAGTTGTGAGTTTTGGGCTGTGGGAAGCAGCCGGAGACAACCCACACATACTCAGGGAAAACATGCAAAATACATGTAGAAACATCTCACTTTGGAATTTGAACCAAGAACGTTCTTGCTTGCATTTCATTTAAGATTTTTTAATGATGTCACCAGAAAGACAAAAATATGGTTATGTGTCAATTCTCATATTTTAAAGACTTAAATGAGCTCATATAGATGCAATTGCACCATATTTTATGTGCATTGCAGTTGTGGTTTGTATGTAATTGGAAAAGTTTGATTTTTTTCATACATAAATCTTTCTTTTTAAACTATTTAGGCAATAAATGTGGATCATTGTGTCAATTCTATGACTTAGTTGTAAACTTCAGGTTTGAAACCTTTGCTCTAAATCAGTGAGATCCTCTGGTGGTTTTTGCCCCACATGTGAAAGTGGGTGTGTGATCCCCAGCGTGCTGCTGCCCTCATTGGCTGCCGGTGGAGCGGCGCTGCTGTGTGTATTTTGGACCGTTGGAGCAATACTGCGGTGTGCGAGTCTTAAACTACCGTCAAGTGACATGAAAACAACGAGAGTGTGACCGGAAGTTGGTCTGTATAAAAATAAGAGCACACTGTAAAGCCTCTGAAGAATAAGCGTGGCGAAAGCTTCCCCTCCCAATTTCCCTGACCGATTGAAAATGTCTCCAAATTGTACAAAAGTGAACGAAAATGTTGTGAACGTGGAGAGTTTTAGCTCTGTTCTTCATTCCTCTGCCGATCCAATATGCTTTCACAGAGTCTGTCTGCAAGCTGTTTTTATTACGAAGGCTTCAAGCCTCAGGTCGGTAGATAACTCGTGTAACTTGACGCTGCAAACACTCCAGCAGGAGTGACTCTGTGAAGTGCACAAACTGGTTCGTTTGCCTGGCCGCCGGTGCTGCTGCTGCTGCTGGAACATCTACAGCGTCAACGGAAGGAAACTGCAACACTGACGCGACTCTTCACTCATTTCAGAGGAATATCGCGGCTTTTGCACATTTTCTTTAAGGCGTTCATACTTAAAGAGAAGAGCCGAGTCCTTCGTCCATGGCCAGTCCGGTTGCAGACCTTGGACAGTCTCATCAGCATCACCCTGTGTCGGAGTGGGCCGCCGACTCTGCGTTTCTGGAGGCTCAGAAATGGATCGAGGTGAGTTCAAACCCGAATGCTGAATCACCTCATCAGAACCTGCAGGTGTTTGTTGATATAGCGTGGCCTTTATGTAGCCTCCTGTTTAAAGTGCACTTTATTTGATTGTTTCTTCACCTGTTGAAATAAGAAATACAAAAAAAAAAATCCTTTGCAGGTTCATTGTAGCCGCATGCATAACCTAAATCCTAACTTTTACCCTTTAAACATAAGCTGAATATAACACCAATCGTATAGGAACAGTTTCAGTTATTTTGTCCAGGCCCTCCTCAAATTTGCAGAACGGCCTTGCTGTTGTCCAGTGGCTGTTTAAAGTGACCTGGTGCGTGTTTGGCTGAAAACAATGAATGCATCATGTGGAATGGATTTTTGCCCCATTGCAGGCCCAGTCAACAATAATCACACACAAGCGAGATTTTGTTCAGGGAGAATTTAAAGTTTGCCAACATCCTGCTGTCAGCTGACCTCTGGTCAAATCACAGCTGACTGATAACTGCTTCATGATTTTAACTTCTCTTATGAAGTGAAAATTAAAATGGAAACATTTTGATGAGGCATAGTTTTATTACCCTGTGGCATAAAACGTTTGACTGTCTTGGACCGTACCCGATGTTCTCTGTTCATGTGGCCTTCACGGTTGCCCAGTAGAACCTGCTGTCCGATGTGGTGAGACTGGAGTCCAACTTGGAATGAGACAGATAAAATACATTAACAGTGGGGAAACTTCTGGAAGTGAAGTGATTAAAAAAATACAAGAAACTCCACTGAAACATGCCTTCTTTTTGTTTTTTAGCTATTAATGTACCTAATCCACATGCCAAGGGAAAATCTAAGGCTTGTTGCTAGAATGCACTTTTTTTCTGATCATTTCCATCTTTCTCAGAGGTCTGATCAGCCAATTTTGATTTTAACAGATTTGATTTATTTTACAATTGTGACAAATGATCCCCAAGTTCCTTAAAAGATGTAATAGTTCTGAATCCAACAGAAAAAAAATAAATTACAAGCTTATTTCCAAATGCAAATTGTATGTCCCATTCACTTCTGGTTGATTGGTGCATCTCTGTTCCATATTTCTAATTTTGATATTTGTATATGCTCACAACACTCCATGTTATCTACATTAAAAAGACACAGATAAAAGTGTCAGGTGCCTTGCAGGCCTATTTAGCAACTCCAAACTCCTCAGAGGGCCATGTCACATCTTTAAAAAGCCACCACTGACCTAGAATTCATGAGGCTGAGAGCAGATCAGTGGAAGTGAACTGAAACTGCTTTTTTGTTGTTCTCCTCTCAGCTTTCTCCCTTGGGATCTGACTTCATTATCCCCACACACCAGCTGACAGTCACTCGCTCCTGATTGAACCTAAACACACAGTTTCAGTCAACATCCAGTTATATCCAACTGCTGCACCAGGTAAAATGTCAGCACCTGATGCAAGAGGTTATGCCAGCAGTTTCCCCAGTTTGTCATCTATTGTCACAGACAAATCAAACAATAGTAAACAGTTGAGTCTGGCATGTTTGGTTGTGTATCTTCTCAGCAGTTTGTTGAGATTGAAGCTAACTTTTGTTTTACGAAGGGTGTTTAGCTCACAGTTTGAAATTTTGCTCACATGGTGCAGACGTGACTGAGAAAGACATGCATGATTACTTCCTACAGCCATTGTGGAGCTAGTTCATGCCAAACATAATTAGGCTGACTTCTTTTTTCCCCCTTACATGGATCACCTTTTACTTATTTTGTTTTGGCAGGTGAGAATAATTTAAAACCTGCCATTCATCATCCAACCACACAGAGACCCCTGCATCTGCTTTCAAAGCCAGATTCGTGCCTCGCTGTCTGCCTGTCCTGGTGGTCTCACCATGGTTAAATCTTGAACCGATTCATGCTTCAACTGTGGGTTGTGTGTCAATTGAAGTAAAGCTGTGGCAGTCAAAGGGCTTGTCATGAACTACTGGGATGTGTCTTGCAAGGATTAGATGTGAAAATAATTTTTCACAGATGTTTGATGAACTCAACGATGGGAGGTTGACACAGACTTTATTTTTTGTAACAAAAACTATTACATTTCCTTTAAAATTACAAACAGAAAATCTAAGCATGATTAACAGTGAGAAAAACTGCCAATGGAGAAATGCCCTTATTGGCTAGAAATGAGCCAGACATTAATTGGCTATAGTGAGACTTAACCATTGATAAATGGGTTTGATTGCAGCCTTGCAATCAAACCCATGTTAACCTAGAATTTATGTAAACCTAGAATCGCTGGATTCTAGGTTTAACCTCCATGGCTGGGGCACATTGTGATGGCAAAATTATAACCAGAGCAACTTGTCGTTGGTCTGTTGTGGTCAGTAGCTAGAGAACAGCCGACGGGTTCATGGGTAATTCAGTCTTACTAATGAAGGAGTGAAGACTGCCTGTAGTCCAGTCCAGGAGCTGAACTACTATGGCTGATTATACTGAGGTGTTACACAGTGCATTACATTTGGACCTGCATAGCTAAAGGCTAGTCAGACTGCCTATGCTGACTCTTGTTTACTGCAGAAAACCCTAATAATGGGTGCATGAATATCAAAACTGCACCAGGAAGCAGTGGAGAAACGGCTTGGTCTGACTAAATACGTTTTCTTTTAAACTTGTTTGATGCCTAGGTGCCTTATTTACTTGGGAACAAATGGGACTATGAACAATACACCATGGGAAGATGACAAGAAAGTAGAGACACTGTGATACTTTTGCCAATCTTGGACTGGAAAACCCTGGACATCTGCCATTCATGTGGGTGTTATTTTGACACATCCCACCATCAAGTATTGTTGTATACTGCGTACACCCTTCGTAACAGTATTCCCTGATGGCTGTGACCTCTTTAAGCACAATAATGCTCCCTGTTACAAAGCAAGAATAGTTCAGGAACAGTTTAAGTACCACAACAATAAGTATGAGGCGTTAACATGGACTTGAAGTTCCCACAATTTCAATGAGTCTCACAACTTGCATGACATGAAGGCTTTGCTAACATGTTGGTTCTGAAAACTACAGCACACCTTCTAGGGCCTGTTGGCGTCCTTGCGTCAAAGGTTCAGGGATGTCTTTTAGCAAAAGGGTAGCTAACACATTATTAGACAGATGGTCATAATGTAATGAAAATGTTATGTTTGAAAACAATAATTATCGTGTTGAAATGACAAACTAGTCATGTAAAATATTCCTCAGCTACAACTGCTAGACAAAAGGCATACAGCAGCATTCTTTGGAACAATCCAGAACTGCAGTGAAGCATCGACACCTGCAATTATTACGTCTTTGATGGTGCTTCTTCACACTCGCAACCCTCTCTAATGATGGTGCTAAAGTTCCTCTGAACTTCAGAGGAGTCTGACTGGCCCTTTGAAGAGAGCAGACGCCCCCAGTTGGTCAGGTTGAATGATTTGTGTCGAACAGCCATGGGGTGTTTTGCTTGAACAGAAACCTAATGAAACCGCCTTATTGTGTCTTCTTTTCTCTGAAGCGTCTCAGTAGTTTGATGAATTGGCTTTTCTCTAACTGGCAGTTCAGACAAGTTCTGCCTCTAACAGAATCATGTGAAATTATAACAAATGACAGGTTGTGTCATTTCAACAGTTATGGAGATTTTTCTGAACTGAAGACAAATTTATTGCAAAACAGGCAACTAGAATTATTAGAAACAAATTAGAACAAGAAAAAATGCAAATTATGTAATGTTGTCTAATCCAAAACCTATACTGAACTGAAGCCCCAGAAATCAAGCCATGTTTTACTGGCAGCTTGATTACTGTTGGGTCCATTTAGCTTTCAGCTAAAAAATCTGTCTCAAAATGGGATTAGTCAGTCTGTTAATTTTGTTTGTTCAGATAGCTTTCAAACATGAGTTTGAGTGATTACAAAGTGGAATGATTTGATTTCAGTCTTAATACGTGATCAGCAAGGTGACATCTGTCTGGATTGGTTTGTTTGTTGGCTGTTCTCCAACACGTTCTAGTCTAAACAAGGTTTCTTGACTCAATGTTTTTTTTTTCCTGAGCATGTGTGAGCAGGTTGGGAGTCCCTTTTCCTAGCCAAGTAAATACACATTTGGAAACTTTGGAATAATATAAAGATGCCTGAACGGAAAAGTGATATTCTTGACATGCCAATTGACTCTGCTCTGAGCAGACAGGTCAGGCATGTTTAGAGATTATCTTCGATGTTTATATTACTGTGTATACTATATTTAGACTTACTGCTATTATAAACCCAATTATGACATACACTGATGGGGGAAAAAGGGTTGAAAATGAAAATAAGATGTGTACATTTTTCTCATCTTGGATTATACATCTATGCATTTTTATTGCCCTGTGACAGGATTTCATGTCACCTGTTGAAATTTGCTGCTTCCTGATCCAGGCCTTTGTCTAAGTAATTCTTGCTCTTTGTTAATGGACTTTGATCCAGTCTTTTGTTTTGGATCAGGTTGCTTGTTTCTGTCAGGATCTGGCAACAGCTCTGGCACAGTCTGTGCAAAACAGGATGAGTGCTGGCAAAAAGAGCTCACCCTTCTAGAGCAAAGGGGAAACCTGAATAACTCTCAGTATGATGATGGATGAGCACATAAATAATCAACCACTGCTAAATTGATTACTGATGTGCATATAAATAATCAACTTCTAACACCATAATCTAATGTGGATTAAGTGAACTCTCTACTTGACATTTGCATGCTTTCAAGCAACTTGTATCCACTAAAGATTTCTAAACATATTCTTCTTTTAAAAGCTATTCAAAATTATGTTTAGATATTTTGTTTTTGATTCTAAAAGCAAATTTGTCCGATTTGCTTTTAGAAGCATTTTTATTTTCTTTACACCGCTAAAACACTCTTTAAAATTCTTAAAGAACTGATTTTTATTTTCGAATTTTAAAGAATTCTTATAATACGTTTTATCTACACTCACCACTGATTGAACCACCAAAAACTCAAAAATTTGACCTTTCTTCAGTGAATGTACTACACAGGTTGCAAATCAAAACTTTACAGAAACTGGAAATTGGCCTTAAAATTTCAATCAGTTTTTATTTAACTGAAATTCTCTGAGGGCTTTATGAAAGACACCATTTAAGGTCTTGTTTGTTTTTTAAGTTAAACATTTTTCTCTAGTAGAACAAATTAAAGAAATTCACCGTTACTTTTTTTTCTATGGAAACGAAGAGGAGCCCAGATGGAGGGATGTCAAAGAAGGCGGACCATGATGCATGGTTGTTTACCAAGGCTGCCGTCCGCCCGGTGTTTAGTCTTCGTTGTTGACTCACACAAACTGTTCCCTGTGAGATGTAAAAGAATGCAGATATTTTTTCTGGTCAGATTGATAAGGTATCTTTTATGTTCAAATGTACACTTCAGTCACATTTTTAATTCATTATAATCGACTGGCTCTTAAGCTGTAATTAGAGGCTTGTTGTTGTTCAGGACGTTGTTTCCTTGAGCAGAGGTCGGCCTCAGAAAGCATAAAATCTTGAACATATCTACTTGGTTTGTTTATCAACTTATGTAAGCAAAAATCTACTTAAACATAAAATTTTCACAAATTCGCCCTCATTGTTGCAGTTGGTTAAATGATTTATTTGAGCTCAACAAACATCTGCAATTACTCTGTCTGTGTTTAGTTACGACCTGCTGCATGATATCATTTGCAGTTTCGGTTCTTTGTAATTTCAGCCTACAGAATGGACCGTAATGTTAAGGGTTGAGCTTTCTTGGCAGTTACCGTTGGAGTACTTGGGCTGCATTGCTATGACTACAAGCTGTTGAAGAATGTAATTTTAGAAGGAAGTGTCGGTCTGAGAAGGATTTAGGCAACTTGAAGGATGCTCCATTCATCACTAGTGCTCTTATGAGGTTTAGACCCATGATGTACAAAGACATCCCTACCTTTACCACCATGATTTATGAAATCAGGGTGTGCATAGTTTTTATGTTCTCTAAAATATTTAATCATCAATTTGTAGTGTTTTTCATGTTGTTGTTTAAGGTAGCACTTCTTTGTTTTCAGAATTGCAATGTTTGATTTAAAATAAGATTAATGAAAAACTGTGTTGAAGACCAACATTTGAAACATAGTATTTAAGAATAAATGTTTAGTCTGCTAGGAGTGTCATTTTTTCAATGATAACAGAGAGCAGACGACAGGAATTTGCATCTTCGAGTACACATTAACATGAACCAGACATGGACTCTGTTGAAGATCTGAGCTAGCAGTTAGTTGTTATCATTTCCTAAAATGTGTTTTTTAAGTAACTATTATGAGTCACGGAACTGGAGAAAATTATCTCAAGAATTATTAATTTTTTCTTCCAGTGCATAATGTTTATTCTGCACAGCTGAGCTATGACGAATAATAATGTAGTGTGAGCTGAAGGATTGGTCATTGGAGATATTATTATTATTATTATTATTTTTGTCTTAAGTGTTGTGCAGCTCAAATAGACTTGTGAAAGTGACAGATGAAAGTTAATTCTGTGGCAATCACCAACTCACAAATGCAAATTTCTGCCCGCCACTCAGTAAGAATCTGTCAATCTTTTCAAGTTGTGTTGCAAATCACTGCTATCTTGACACAGTTGAATTAGTGAAAATGGCACCACTGAGGAAACGTGTTTGAAAGATATCATCAACTTTTATCTGCAAGTACCAAACTAGATCTTGCGTTAGAGCTCCTTTTACACTGGTTGTAAAAGACAGAGAAGAACACAACCCACCCAGACAACCACTGGCAGAGAGCCACATGGGTGTAGCATTATTTCTTCTTCAGAAACCATTTCCTTCTGAATTTCTGTATAGGGACACAGTGCAGGGAGATTTATTAGTTAGACACCATTCTGACCTCTCAGAGATAGTGATTTGTACTGATTATTTTTCTGGCAACTATATCCTGTATTATATTAGACAGCAAATGGACATTTTCCCCCAGAGTTGATCTCATAAAAACAGAAAAAAGTCTGCAATTGTAATTATTTCAGCAAGTTTGATCAGGACAAAGTGTTAGTAGTTTGTAAAATGATAGTAGTTTGTAACTTGAGCTACAACATTTTTATTTTTAGTTGTAAATTTCCACATAAGTTACGTACATTAAGTAGTTTGTTTCATAGTTATCCTTATGTTGTTGGGGGTTTCAGTTTTTCCTCGACTGTAATGAGAATTGCTTTCTTTAATTGTCTGCTTTTGTGGCTTTTTGCTCCTGTGAAGCATCAGAGTGCAAGTTTGAAATCAACATTTGCAAATATTCTCACTGAGCTCACAAATCAAATGCAAATCAACGTTTGACCTTTTCACCCCTTTCATTTGACTTCTTTTTGGTAGTTTATGGGAACCAGTAAAACTGCTCTTTCCAGTCCTTTTTCAGTTAATGTTTAGCTTATGAAACATGGGGACACATGTCGATGTTAGTCATATTTATCACTTCTTAAGTTGATCAAAACCTATGAACAGCAGATTTAAATTTATTTCTGTAATTTAATAATTTAACATTTTTAAATCAAATGTAGAGATCTCTTGGCCTCATTATGTTAGATGCAAGAAAATGAGAGTGTCAGTCTATTTCAGTGGATGAAATGCTTCTGAATAAAGTGCAAAACTGAAATTATTTGTACAGTACGATTTTAGACTTGTGTGGATCACAAATCTAACATTTATGATTCACACACAAATTATTGAAATGCATTCAATACTTTGAATGCATTTTAAATAATGCTTATCTAGCTCATGTTGATTCAGTGACATTTTGATGGCAGTAATTGGTAAACCAGTGAAGCATTGCCTCAATGTAACAGTTGGAAAGGATGATGTCTGTTCTACCTGTAGCTGACTTTTTAAATGATTTGTTCTCGAAGAGCCTCCAGATAAAGCAGTGAATTGAATGGTTGCTGTTCATGTTCAGTAGAAGCAATGTGGATGTTTTAAAGCTCTATCTGTCTGACGTAAGGAAGGTTGACCTTATTTGGTGACGTCTCCAGGTTCTTCATTTCACAACCAAATATATTTAAACTAGGTGGTTGCTGGACTTGGTGACAGCAGCGTTATTCTGTTATTCTCATCACAACTTAGACAATAGTATTTCTGGAAAAGTTTTTTATATATTTCAAATGAATTGTTCTGGCCACATTAGATGTCACATTTTGCCAGGATGTATAAAAGCCTTAAACTATTTTATTGATTGCAGTAGTGATCGAAGTGGAAAAATATAGAAGGTTAAGAAAATTTGTCTTTAACAAAAATGACAAGTGGCACAGCTAAAATATCTACTAAATAAATAAAACTAAACATTTTTCTTTTATTTGTACATTCCTTTTTATATTTGTCAGATGTTCTGTGGCATTTTAGTAATCCAGTATTTTGGGTGATGAACAGAGCATGGCACATGACGTACACTTTTCTTTCAACCATTGAACAGAAGGCTGGATGAGCATCTTGAACATTTCATTATTATATTTTTCTACTGAATTTAAATACAAATCTGATGAAATCTACCAGAAAACTTTAGAAATGGTGTAGGATTTTTCTCTCTCATCACTCCGGATGTCTGAAGCTAAAACTACATCTGTGAACATGTATCAAGTTTTTATTATGACAGATTGATTTCCCTCCTATTTCTCTCCTTGATTCCTCCTGCATGACCAAATTAAAACAGTAAAAAATAAAGATCAATTCAATTTTTAAATGCCTGTGAAGAACACAACCCACCCAGCATGTCATCTGCTCACTGTTTGTGTGTCTGTGGGTACGCCTCAGAGTGTGTGTCTCCTGTCTGATGTCTGAAGACTGTCTGTGACAAGGTGAACAGAGTCATCTTGTTCAACTGCTGTGTGTGTGTGTGTTCATGCTCTGAAAGAGAAAGCTTTCAACAAGAGAGATTAAAGCAGGCTAGCATTCAAACTGTGGTGCAGCACTCACACACGCACACACAGTGCCGTCTTAAAGAGAGGCAGCCGGCCGTGTGCCAGGCTGCACAGTCATTCTCTGCAGGGAAGCTGTTAGGTAGGGTTGTTACTTAGCACGCTTAGAAGTAAATCTAATAAAAGGGTCACCCTGAGAATGAACTGATAGGCGACAACACATAAAGTGCCTTAGTGTTAGGCTTTGATCTTTTAAGCCTAAAAACATTGGAAAAACATTCTTCTGAAAATAATTAATACAAGAGGGACATTTTTGGCTTTTTTATTACTTCATTAAATTAGTTTTGGGTTTTGAAGAACCCAAAGTGCTTTGGGAATCAAGCTATCTAAACAGAGATAGAATAAAGAAGCAAGTTAAGTTTTGAAATGATCCACATTAATTTAATGCTGATTTCAGTTTGTGGTGATTTTTATACTGCTACAAGAGTAGCAGTATAAAAATCGATAACAATCTATAAAATCTATAACAACCTATAACATACAGGTTGTTATAGATCATTAATTAACTTCAGATCTGTAACATTAACAAGTCAAATGGAAGTTTAAACATAAGAATATGCACATCTCTGACAGAAGTATGGTCTGTGGTTGACAACTTTAAATAAAAAACACCAACTCTGAAATCACCATTAACTCCTTTTACTAGCTTGGACTGTTAAGAAGTATTACAGGGAATCTTAAGGAAGCGCACAATGTCACAATAACAACCAGTTGGTGTAAATTACTATAACCCAAACAAGGAGAGAATCATTTACTTCCCCTTCTCCCATGAAATTGGACAAGAAAATAATTGTTCATGTGATGACCCTTTAGAAGGGGAGTCCAAGTCAACTTTAAATTCAATGTTATGGTGGCTCAATTAAGTTAATTGCTAATGTCTGCTATTTTGGAAATGCATGTAGTACAAGATCATGTTTAAGCATTCATAAAGTGCAATTAGCATTAACAATGACAATATTTTCACTGGAAAGTTACTACATACTGCAGTTAAGACATTAACTCCTCATAACTTTACACCAAAACCTCACTTCAAAAATACAGAACCAACTCTTTATCTATGACTTTCACAAGTTTTAAGTACAGTTAGCATTATGTTTGCTTTTTTACCTGAAACCTAAATCTGCTTGCTCCTTTGTTTTCACCAGTGCCAAAAGTTGGTTGAAAGTCGACCTACTTGAGTTACAGAGTCGTAATTCTTTTAGGCTTTAGTGGGAACACAAAAGCTAAGGAACAAGTAAAACCTAATTTATCTGTCTTTGTAAAAGGAGAACTCACCACCATTCTCTTAAAGGAGAACAAAGTTGATTAAAAGCATCTTCATAGTAAAGCTATTCATGCCTTCTTCTTGTTATTTACTGGCCTTCTTACTTGTGACAGGAAAAGTAGGGCCTCTGGAGCTGTTTTGAGTTGTTTCTTTGAACACACTACAGAGGAAAAGTGTTTACGTTCTAGTTGAACACCCCGCTTCTATTTAATTAAACAGGAGCAACAAATCAAAAGTGAGCCAGAAATATGTTAGGTTACATAAGCCTTGTTGCTCTACGTCACTTGTCTTGTAATCTGCCAAAACTATTGATTGTCCTCATTTACAGGCTGGGTGGTCACATTGCCTGCCGCTGATTTAATTCTGGATTTATGCATTCATGTAAGGACTCTTACATTTTGTATACAGGTCAGTTCAGAAGCTATAATTAAACATTTGCAAATGTGCAAGAACTCTTCTTTTGCTGCTGTTATGAAATAGTATTGTGGATATGTACCCTTGCCATCAGCTTAAAGTCATTGCATTATGTGTTATTCTGAAACCT